GCTTGAAAAACTTGAGGAAGCACCACAGAGAGACACCAACAACTAATTGTTGAGCGAGGTAACACCGCCACGAGATCATTCTCTTCAACAACAAGAAGTCAACTAGAGTTCGAATACCTATTAAAAGACATCACCGATGTTACACATGCATTAAACACAAAAATCCATATTCCTAAATAGACAAAGCTCGAAAAGGAAAATTGCCATAAAAGTAAGCCAAAAGCGGCAAGGCTAAAACCATTTTCACCCCATGATTTCATTTTTTACTCCAAAATAGAATAATTTTAAAATGGAGTTGAGTTTAGCTTCAATCCCAATCTCAATCTACTTTGGGAGTAGAGCGTGGAATAAAAAAATAAAAACTTGGAGTAATGAACATGGTTACTCCACATTTGGAGTAAACTCATTTTTTACTTCATTTTGAAGTTAAAAAATAGAGTAAAAATTAGAGTAAGGTTGTAAGAGAATTTTACTCCAAACTCTATAATGGAGTGGGTTTGAAGAAACTTTAAAGAAGGCAAAAACAATACTAGTAAGCATAAGGTATAAGCCTAACCCGAGATGAAACATCATGTTAAGCAGAAGCAAACCAATCACCACCGAAACTGAATTGGTCAACCTAGAACAATCGATGTAGAAAGACATATGAAGCCGAAACAAGAGCAGGTATACTATATGCATCTGGAGCTATCGGATTCACAATCTCAAATCTCCGATCCAGCTTGAAACTTCAGTTGAGATTAACCAAAAATCTTTTTTAAACCAACCTCAAACCAGGGATAAGAGCGACAACTACCTAAATTGGTTACCACCAAAAGCCACTGCCATCAACACATGTTGCGATGAACACCACCATATCAAGAAACATGACTCGCCATCGCTATTAGAATTAGATGTTGGTTTGATGTAATTTTATCTCGGTTTACTGTACCGAACGCTGGTTTAGTGTATATAACCAGATTATGTAACAAGATTCGAGGATAACGATTCATTAATAAAGAATAACAACTTTTCTTCTAATATGGTATCAGAGCTCTTGAGCTAAAACTCAAGCAATTTCCGATCTTCTTCTTCGTTTTTACCTTGATTCTTCAGAAATCTCTTCATTTCTTCCGATTAATCCTTTCTTCTTCGCGAATTCGCCAGTTTTTGAGCTCAATTTTTGGCTATTCCACCAATTTTTTGGGTT